TATGTATTTTTTTTCCAGCGAAACACCATTTTTAAGTCTATTTTGAGCAATGCACAGGCAACCAACTTATGCAAAGTAAGTTTGTAGCTAGCATTTTATCCACTGGGGGTGGGGGTGGGGTGGAGGACAACTACCCCACCCCCACCCTGGGGAGACATGCAGCTTTTTGGTTTTATGGAGCTGAGAGTGGTTAACACCTTAATCGTCATGATATCATCTCCTTTCTTGAGGGTAAGCAGATTCTCTTACAGATAAAAAAGTGCCTCATTGCTTCAGAAAAAAATCTGTTTCTGCCTTTCCTGGCTTCGAAATCTGGAACCTCAATGTCTGTGACACCACGCGATGCCATCAAGCTATTTGGATGCTTCTTTCTTTTTAGTAATGATGAGGCCCGGTATCCACAGTGATTTCTGAAAGCTTGTGGGAGAAGTACACAGGTTTACTTGGGCGGGACTCCAACCAAAAACCTCCTGCATGCAAGGGGAGGTACGTTATCACTCAGCCACTGAGCTTGTTGCGGTTACCTTGTTGGGGTTAAATTTGAAATTGTGAAGTACTTATCCAAAATTGGAAATTGTGGATCTGTATTTGATGATCAAACTCCTGTTCATTCGTTATCAATCAGCAAGAGCAACATGGGACGAGTTATAGACATTTGGTGAATGACTCCAAAATACAAAGTACTGATTTGGTTTGGATATCTTTTCAACCTGCTTCTCTTTCTTGTAGGCTGTCCTCACTCAGGTGTACTCGCTGTCTGACAGATTCCCAGAATCGGTGTTGCGTGACAGCATATAGTTGTCCATATCGATGGAGCGGCAGTTGTAGATGGCATAGCGCAGGCGTTCGGCCATCAACGGCTGGCTAGAGTACGGTGGAATGCGCAGCTGAAAGAAACAGGTCTGTGCCGTCGGTAGCCCGTCTACCGTCTGTGGGGGGGGGGTGATATAATGAGCATTAAGTTCAGCCATCGGAAACTCGATAGCCCTGTGTACTGACAAGGTCATGTTTTGTGTACATGTGGAGCCAGAGGGGGCCACCGTGGGAAACCATGCATGTAAATAAAGTGTTACATCATCAGCACTGATGCCTACTGAAGTACCATGACTTTGATGTTCAACAAAGAAAGCTCCCCAAAACTTGATATCCATGAAAATATAGAGTCAAAATGCCCAATAAATTCTTACTCGAATTGACGACAACTAATTTTTGCGAGTGATCGAGTCATTCACAGGCTAGAAAGCAGCATCCTTATATCGTGACAAAGCATAAATGACAAAAGGAATGTTTTTGTCAGAGTTCATTTGAATAAATTGTGACTTGGCCTGAGACCGGTGACCTGTGGTAGACTTGTGGGGACTTGTGTTGGTATTGGCTACAGATTTGGTCACTGGGCACACAATTGAGAAGTCAGAAGTTTACGAATCAAACAAGACTTTATACAGTCCAATGAAAAAAAAAGAAGGAAATAAGCTCAGCCGAGGAAAAAAAATTGCATAACTGATCAAAACAGAAGTGCAATCAAGTGAAGAAAAATGGATAAGAGAAGAACAAGAAGCAGAGTGTGGACAACGTTACCCTTTCCACTCTCATGATCTGGAAGCGCTGGGAGATGTCAGCGATGTTGGATGGCAGCCGGGATCTCCCCGACACAAAGCGCATGAAGAGGACCCGCTCCTCATTGCTGAACTCTCTCAGAGTCTGCCACAGCCACTGCACCAGCTGGTGTGTCTCGTCTACCTCTCGGTATCTAGGGGGGGAGGGGAAGGGGTGACGGAAGAGAAGGCCAATGCCGTCAAGCTCGCTGGATCTTGACAAGCTGCACAACTACACAAGGGCAGCTCCAGAACCGTGATTTTCGGGAGGAGGGCCAAAATTGTCTTTGGAGGGGACAAAAATTTGTACATGTATGTAATCATTTTTGCCTTTCTGAGAAGCGAGGCTACATTTGAGGGCTATTTGCATGAGTTTGGAGGAACAGAAGTGAAACAGTCCCCCCAAAAGCCTTTGTCTTCTTTTTTTCCAAAAGCAAAAGCAACTTTGCTCTTTTCGAGGTAGAGGGATATCCCCCAACCGCTGTCTATTTTGTTCAACATGAAAACGCTACAGGATTAAAAAGTCTTGAAAACAACGGTGACAAAAAAAAAAAAAATCTGGAAAATCTTTGTGGCTGCCAGGAAAGACCATTTTCTCTAACAAATTTGAACCTGATCTTGGCTGCATGGAGTAACATGCTTGTAACACACCGTCTACCTGGATCCGTGCACGTTCCTTCCAACGCAAGTCCGACACACCCTGTTTTGTCCATGCCACACTGACTTGTCACCTATTCATTAAGTAACGAGTCAACTTTTGTCACTGACACGGGTTACAGACCTGACCACTCTCTGAAGGATGTCCACGTCGATGTCCGGCATGCCGCAGACCATCTGCTCCAGGTGGGCGGCGGTCAGCAGGGACAACAGGGGGACGGGGATGATCCAGGACATGCCTTCACGCACTGCGGCCACCTGCAAGAAGGGGAGTTGAATGTGGGCCCACAGGGTCACTCAAATGGGCGGTGGCTATGCAAAACATTGAATCAAACGATGCCCATATAAGAGAGGCGTGTTAACCAGTCTGATGTAATATACTTTGCATGGCTTTTTGGCTGGTAACTGTTTTTTGTTGCGTATACATTTTCCGTGCTCTGCACATAATAAGAGCTTCACAGCTCCACGTGCTTGACCTCTGCTTCAAGAAAGTGCCCTAACAGCAGCCTCAATGACCCGAGCACAGAGCCTTGCAAACTGACCTGTCGGTCCATCTCATGGAGTCTGTAGGCAAGAGCCCGTTCCACGTACTCCCTCCTGTTGCTATAGGTCAGGGGGATGCTCCGCCCACCAGGGACCACAGGAACAAACCTGCCATCTGCGCTCTGACACTCAAACCACTCCAGTGGAATCACCTGGCATGAGATGGAGTTTTTTTTATAGTAAAATCTGGCCGTATATTTACTTTTTCAGTTCAGAGTCTTCCAAGTTCAAATATGATACAGTATTTCATACATCATCGTGAGGAGGGGCTGAGATTTAATTCAGCCCCTTTGCCCTGAGAGTGTAACAAATAAACGAAGCAATATTTCTAGATCTTGGTTGTTTATCAATAACCCCCTTCCCTGAAAGTAGATATATACATTCTGTGTTCCTACAAAATCAGAAGATGGGAGTTTATTGCAGGTATTGGGGATTATTGATAGCTTCTTACACAGGCAGGGACTCCAATTACAATACCGGTTGTCTTTTATTGTAATTCGACATACCATTGTGATGAAAGTGTAATTGTTGACAAGGTGGGATTTTGTGAAGGGTAAATGGCATTTGCCTCTGAAATTCAACAGTTTTTTAAGAGAAAAATATCCTACTCTATTTTTTTTTCAATACCTGTGTTATGAAAAAACTGGACAGCAATTCTGTATTAAATAAAGCATTGTGAGGGGGGAATTCAAATTAACTTCTCACTTCTTGCTAATAAATCTGTTTCAAACATCACCCACCTCATGAAAATTCTCCTCAGTCACACCACTCTTGTCGATGTCTCGTATGTTGCGCAGTGTTTGGACATAGAGAAAATCCATCTGAAATTGACAGTCAAATTGGCAGAGAATGAATCGCAGAAAGACAGCGGAAAAGATAACGCTCCAAGCCAAGCAAGTTTCATTTGATAGTAATACAAGTTGAAGTTTTGTGATATTCAAAGCTGTTTGCATTGGTTACCTGCCCCAAAAAATGTGTGAGATACATATTGCCGTTGAGCATTACCTTCTGCTTAGTAAATGAACCTGCTAAGCCAGTGACATTTCATGCTTGGCAGCTCCAATGTTTTCCAGTGTTGTAGGTTTTTGTCTGAACAAAGGTTGGCACATGTATGTTAGGACTGATATAGAGCCGAGTGATACCAAAATAATCAGCTTAGTGGCAGGGTTCGTATCTAAGACATCGTCTCTTACCTCTTCTAGGTCCTCAGTGGTCAACGGCATTCCAGCCAGCTGCTTCCAGACCATAGGGGCCAAGTGAAGGTCCAGTGGTTTCTTGGTACGCACCGCCACCCCAAGGAGAACCCCCAGGAACTTGAAGAGGAGGAGATGTTCCTCAGAACACATGGAAGGGTTCAACAGGAACCTGAGTTGCCGAAGGGGGGAAGGAAAGTTCAGTTAGTTTCAGAAGGGGCAGTGAATGCGGCAGCCACAATCACTGGGTTTACTCTAACTCATGTTTCTGACTATATACTGTGAAGGAGGAACATTTCTGACAGTGCCGTCAATAATCTAGTTCTTGAAGACGGAAGTGGTTTTGAACACAGCTACTGGTGTGAGTGTGAGTTACTTGTGATTCTTGACATTTTCGGTGAGTGAGCCCTAGCTGTTTGTCTTCAGTAAAAGACTCAATGTTGGCTTTGTGCAGTTGCTCGTGTTCTTAGGAGGTTGCATTTGTATAAAATTTCGGCTCGTAAATTGAAAGAACTGTTTTGGCAAGAAAACAAAAGATGAGAAAAGAAGCAATAATTTTACTTTAGGACGGATAAAGGACAGTTGCATGAGAAGTGAGATGCAAAAATCCATGGAAGTAGATGAAAGTGGGTCACGTTTGGCGGGAAGGGGGGGCGGTGAAGGTTGACAAACTTCAGGAATTCCGCAAAATCAATATAGACCACGTAGATTCTCCACAACCAACCACTGGCATAATTACGGTGAAATTTCATTCGGGGAACCCAGGGATACACATCTCTTCAAATTATTTTGGGAGGGCACTGAAAGCCAGTGAATTATGGCTTGTAAAAAAGTACATTTTTAAATTTCAAATGGGGGGGGGCTCTGCTAGGGGCATGAACCCCTCAGTAGTCACACCACTGCTTTCAACACTTTCCTTGCACTGTTGTCAAATCTCCCTCTCACTTGTCCCCACAATGACTAAGCATTCAAACACAGACATCTTCCAAACTGAGACAAATTCACCTGTCCCGATTGCTGCCGGCGTCGGCTGAAGCATTGGGTGTGGCTATCAGCAATGGCACCACGCCTGTCTCCAGCTCCTGGCACATTTCGGTGATGGTGTCATCGAACACCCCCCCAGCGTCGTCGGCCCCTTCCCCCACCAGCTTGACCTTCCAGGCTCGGGCAGGGAGGCGCAGGTCGCCGGGTTTCATCCGCACCACCTGCTTGGCTATCTGGGTGAAGATGGGCTTGCACTTCCGCCCCCTACCCACAGAGCAACAAAGACCGGCCTTGTACTCTAGGTTTTACCCGTACACTGACATGCACATTCGCACCATGTTCTCAGTGTTGTCCGAGAGTTGAGAAGAAACACATGCTTAGCATGCTCCAGTTGAATCTGAACCCAAGTCTTCCTCCTTACCAATGCGGGACACTTTAACTATTTGACCTCCAAGATTTCCAGGATTGACTGGCTGGTTCCAATCAAATGCAGCAGTGGGTACTGCAAGCAATCAGCTAAGGAAAGTTTGTGGCTCTCGGATCCCCCAAGATTTGTTCATCTAGCTCTGTTTTCATAAGTACTTGTAATGTATAAAGAGATAAAGAGGAAGTCACAACTTTTTCCCAGAAACCTTGGGGTCAAATGATATTTAGGCAATGATAGGCAAGTTATGAAAGGGCCAAATATTGGTATCTTAGACCATAACATCAGCCTTTCTGAAATCTGTTCTTTTGTTGCTTGCTACTCTGTAATGGGCCAACTGGTTCTTCAAGTAACTTCCTATTTTGTTAGGAAGCTTATGAAATTTGCTAAATCTAACACTTGGGAGAAAGTCTTTGTTTGGGACTTTGTTTGAAATGTTAGCAGCAGGATTCTTAAATCTGAAATCCTTTGAACTACTACAAACCCAAGCACTGCACTGAAGCAAATTATTAAGATACAATCGGATTTAAAATGGAATAAGCTCATGACACTGAGTTTAAAGATCAGATTTGAACAATGAACAAATCAATGAACAAAAGGCAGCCATCATTGCCATGAGAAGCTAGAATGGACATAAGTTTGAAATTGGTCAACCGTGGTATCCTACCTTGTTGCGAGTCGCTTGACCGTAACCTGGGGGCCATAGTTCTTGCCCTGGACCATCGTCCGGCCAATGGACCTTACCATGGGCAGTGTGTAGACCCTGGAGGCCAGTAGTGGCCGGAGGGGGCCATCGGTCAATCCTGTCATGCCAGTCGTGCATGCCGCCCAAGGTCCCTGTAAGGACAAAAGGAAGAAATGGCCAATATCCATGACTTAATTCCACAACTGTTGGTTACTTTGATATTGTAAGCGGTGTTTCGTGCAAGCAGGGCAAAATGACTTCTGAGATGAGTTTTCTTACACAGCCATCAACCATTCCCCATCCCACACAATGCTAGCAACCACCTGTTAATGGCATATCCAGGTTTGAGGTCCAGGGGTGTAAAAATGAAAAGTTTCTGAAAATGAATGTCTAAATTTTGTCATCTGTCAAAGAATTTTGTCATCTGTCAAAGAGTCCATGATCGCCCCCCTCCTATCACCCACTCCTAATTTTTACAAACTGTGGTTGGTTTAATACAACAGCAGCGTGCTGGAGGAAAATGATAAGTTTCCTTTTTCTTTTCGACTTCACCTGGGTTGGGCTGAGATTGAGGAGACGCCAGGACGCATAGATGAGATCGGAGAAGTGATGCAGGAGCCTGAGGCGCGCTCTGATGGAGGAGGTATTGCATTCCTTCAGGGCGGTGTACTGAGCGGGCACGCTGTGGGGCAAGCCTTCAACAATAAACCAAAACTGAGAACAGTTGGAAAGTGTTTCTGTGATGTCATTACAATCTGTTGGAAATGCAGGGAGAAAAGGCTGACACGGTGTGCTAGCCAAAACCTGGGGCGTGTCATTATATTGAAATGGCAGGAGTGCTGAGACTGGAAGACTTCTACTATGAGTTGCTGACCTCAAATTTGTTTGGCCTGAACACGACAGTTTGCCAGTGCTTCTTTTTTTACCTTTGTCAGTTTTGTTGTTTGCTAGTTTTTAGTTTTTTTGAAGAAATTCAGTTCACTTAAAAACTGTTTCAAACTTCATCACGGAAAAAAAGAGACAACAACAGAACATAACAAAAGAACAGCGTCCTTATAGATTTTCAGCACGAAATCAATGCAATCCTTGTCATCTTGATGGTGCAAAGCTGAACGATTGACTGACCTAGCTGCAGAGGTTGAGGGGTACCTGGTGCCCTGGCCGGCACGGGGGCAGCTGTCCAGGCAGCAGAGTGACTCCTCCCAGTTGAGATCTGAGAGAAAAAAAATTGGGCCAATAAAGTCAAATGTCCAGGACTTAGCATAGGAGCATATTTCAGGTCATCATGTAAAAGAAATTATTCTCATACATGAAGGTTTAATACATCACTAGTCTCGCTCAGTCCAGATGGTGTACAAGCATTTGCTTCGTATCTGGACTCCTCATAGCATTTCTGTTATTTTGATCTTAAAATCATGTTAATATTTCATTTAAGATATGGAAATAAACTAAACTAAACTTTCAGGAATTTCCATTTGGAAATGTAACATCGAAGGTATGATTCAGATCTGTTTCCAGCAAGACTCAAATAGCTGACATTTATCTTACCTGGCGTATATTCTTGTTCTGCAGACTGGTCACTAAAAGAGGTTCTCTGACGGTATTGGTGTGACCCAATCCCAACTGTTGACAACAAAATTGTTTGGGAAGTGGGAATTGATTTTAAAAACCTGTTTTCCCATTTTTATTGTAATTTGTAACTTCTAGCAGAAATAATACTCACACAAATGACCAAACAAATTTTGGAAACCCTTGGTTTTTCTAATACAAGTCTAAAACTTTGTTAAAATTCACAAATTTCAAATGCTCACGTTAAAAAACCAGCAGAATGAAAATTTTGTCCATGCCACTTCAAATCAAGTGGTCAATTCCAAACTTTCATATTCAAATCTTGACCTAGGGCAGGTCAACCTGTGACAGGTTACTGTTTTATGGAATGTCAAAAGTCTGTACAAGACAGACAACTAAAGGGCTCCACAAACACACAGCCAATTCTACCTGTCCGTCCATGTTGTTGCCCCACACCCAAACGTTGCCACAGCTGGTCAGTGCCATGGTGTGCTCCGATCCAGCCACCACGTCCTCGATGAAGTGACCAGCCAGGGCCGGCACCTGCTGAGGTCGATTGGACAGTCTGGACCTGCTCTCGGGCAGACCTGTCAGGCGATCTGGCATCAGAACAAAGGTCAAACCATTCACCTTTAACCTTTCTTTTCTGTGATCACGCATATAGAATCAGGTTAATTTCAAATAAATTACAAAGAAAATGAAAAAACAGCAAAGTGCACATCCTCCAGAAATACAGAAGAATCCAACGACAAAATGTAATGCCTACTGGAATTCAGCCACAGAAAAGAGTGAGACCAGACTGCATTCCACAGAATCTAACAATAAAGTCCAAAGAAGGATCTTAGAAAGTGAGACACCTGCCTAACTACAACAAAATCAAACAAGTGGGAAGTGCAACTGACTTCCATGCCACCTTACAAAATGAGTACAGAGCTTGTTTATCCTACAAAATCAAACAGTGGACCCCCAAAGGTCCTTTGTTTGCGGATCAAACAAGCACAACCCGTCAAATACTGCAGGCTGATGGATTTTGGTAGGTACAGCCAGGCAAGGGTCAGTTGAAATTGAACTCTGACGCGGTAAGCTGAAGACTTTCAGAAAAACAAGCACAAAAAGCAAATTTTTTTCTGTAAAACCATTCCTCATTTGGACATTTGAGGCTCAAAAAATACAGCACTGGTGAATTGTTCGCATGGATGTACTGAAATCAACGAGAAATCTTTACCTTCCAAATGGCCAGAGTTATTAGCAAACATAGGTGAAGCAATGATGTTGACGTCCTTTGTCAGGAAATACACAGCCATAGGCACGAAGAAATACAAGTGTCCCCCTGTTCAACATGGGTCATTCCATCACGAACACTGAATCTCTTCAGTGGTAAGTTGGGTATGTTATTGGACTTGGAGACATTGGACATTGTCTTGTCTTACCTTGGCCACTTGTGTAGACCCGTCCGTCCTTCGTCAGAATCACTGAGAACTGTGTTCCGCAGCAGACCTTCTTGATGCTCATTCCTGACAGACCCTCCACTTTCTGCAAAACAGATGAGACATTGGACAAAAAATTCCGATGACAAAATTCAGTGAACACCTTGTTTGAACTAATGCTGAAAAACTAAATCTGAAGTTTAAGAAATGTAGCAACTCAAAATTTTTTTAATCACTTGGGCACCTAATACACTCCAGTTCATCTGCATATCCACCTGTAATCAATTTGACTCAATCAATAGTATGGTTCCCCTCTTCTTGAAGTTTGCGTACCTGTGGAGAGGACTTGGCTGCAGTGCTCCCTAGACCAAGTTTCCCATAGTCTCCGTCGCCAAACGCCCACACGGTGTTCCCGTCCGCCGACATACACATGGTGTGGTTCAGGCCGCAAGCAACCTGCAAAATGAAAAAAAA